TTTTTTTTTTTTTTTTTTTTTCTTTTGTAGAACGATTTCACGGAGAACAAAGAAACTCGGGACGTTGCTTGGGAGTAAGATAAATAAAATCCAGATTGAAGATCCACTTTCCTCCGAGAGGATCAGCGCCGCGACGCTTACTCTTCTTTTATTATTTTATCATCCTTTAGGCTGTTCAGCTACCTACGTAATGTCTGTCGAGATTTTATACTGGATATAAAACGGCCATTACTATCTAATCGCGTGACAGAACCAATCGGGGTTCACGTCAAAGTGTCAAAGCCAATTCACCCTTCAACCCTTGATCAATTTTTTTCTTGACAGAGTCAAATTTTGCAGACGATTAATTTTACGTGATTTTTTTTTATCGCTTTTGAATTAAACTCTCAATAGGGTATATACGTGCGATTACGTGATTCGAAGATTATCCGTGGAGATAAAATTGAGATCCACTGCGGGATATGAGATCGATATGATCGAGAGGTATGGATCGCTTTTTTTTTTTGAAATTGAAAAGTCATTTGGAAGATAAAAACAGGGGTGGAATATGAGATATGGGAACCAAAAATGATGGAGGGTCGCTTTTCATGCGGGTGATACGATAAAAGAGAAGGGTGGCTTTCAAAAGTGCAAGGAGAAGACATCGCTCAATTTTTCAGGAACGAAAGTAATCGCCTGAAATTCCAATCAATATACGCTTTTCTTTTTGCTTTACTCCTTTTCCTTTTCCCACCCGTTACCCTCGTATCTATTCGTTTCCCTTATCTTCCGGTCTTCGATTTGCCAGCAGCAATCTCTCAAACCCATTCTATTTTTACTCCCTTTGAATTGTCACGTGTATATATATATATATTCGGGAAACCGGAGCGCCACTACATTTTTCACTCGAAGCTCGCGTCCTCGTCGCTTATTACCCGACAGGAGCCGAGAGCGTCCGGAAAGACCCGAGGCATTTTCATTTCCTCGAATTTATCAGTTTCTCCCTGATTCTTACAGCTGATCGGACACCTCGATCGTACACGAAAATAACAGATCAACAGCCGATACTTATATCGATCGACGTACACAATATTCGAATCAATCCTGAAAATCGTAAATTGACAGCTGTCATTTCATCACGTTAATTACGAATCATTTTAATAACAAGCCTAACGTAAATACGCGAATCGTACACCTGAGAGTAAATAAAATACTAATTAATCAAGATTCGCGCAAAAATCTATGTCCAACGGTAAATAAAGATATTGTAATCGACTAAGACTCGTAAAATTCTATTAGAGAATTCGCATATTATTATCATTGAAATTCGCAATATTCACATTGTCTGAGCAGCTCGATATACTAGAATTAAACTTTTTCATATTTTCCGTAATACCGTACTTAGGCATATATTTGCACATTTTTTTCTACAATCTCCATCCGTATATAATCCGTTGGCAATTCCGAGCTATGTTTACAATATACATATACCGGCATGATATATAAAATACTATAGGTAGCCATACGCGTTCCATGGGGTCCTTTTTCTAATGTCCGTCTCACTAAGAGTTGTTGCGCAGTCAAGTCGTTGAAATTCCATTCTACATATGGCGACCACTTGCTGTGAAAATACCAGAAACACAAGAAGATTCTATCAGCACTCATGAATTTCATATTCAGCCACACCGACGAAAGTTGAGACGTGATATGAATTTTGGAAGAAAATTTACAAAACTTGTAACAATATACTATAGCTTCAGTGCAGCTATATGAAAAATAAATAATTATTATTATACTCAAATAATAACAATCTTTTGATATCTTACGCGGCAGTGGGCTAACTTGTCAATTCAACCCTCTTTACCCTATTTAATCATATCAACCAGTAGCTATGGACCCCCCCAAACACATACGAAAATTCCTCTCAACCCCCACCCTATACAGCATACATTACAGCATAGCGACAACAAGCCTCCTAAACACCAGGAAATTAAGCAACAACCCACGAAACTCAATCGATATTCCTTTTTCTCACCCTTACCGCATCGCTACCCCGTTATTTTCTACGGTTCGGTCCGACGGTACGACAGCTGACCATTATCCTGGGCTTTCCACTTCGCCAAGAGCTGACAGCCACTCACTCAGGAACGTTAGCACTCTGCCGGTGAAAATTCCTCGGGAAAACTTTCTACCCTTACGGCAAAATATACCGTTCGCCAGACATCCTGGTGGAAGAAAAAGGGATGCTGCCCGAAGCACAACCCTAACTGGTTACGGCCTTCGTGGGTTTAATGTACGACCACGCATCTACGCATACGTATATAATATATATAATATAATATATATAATATACTATATATACATAGCTATACACGTTATAGCTAACCCTCCGTATGCATATATAGATTCCGACGAATTCTGGCGCCGGAGGGTGAAAAAGAAATTTTTTCCCTCCGGAAATTCGAAGCTGGGCCGAATTTAATAACTCAAGTTTGAGATGAGACGAGATGAGCTCTTGGCTGCTGAAAGACTAGAACATATATATATATATATATATGTACTTATTACATATGTAACCACGTATGCAGATATACGAATACCGCGGCAGGGGGGGGGGTGAGATTCAAACTCATCCGAAAGTGCCGCATCGCATCTGCTTTCCTAGTTTATCGCTATGGAGACCTCCCCGATGACGTAGGATATGCATATATCTATATCGCGTACAGCATAAAAAGATCCAGCTACTCCTTTAACCGACGTCTTACTTCATATGTCGTAAGGAAACCACCCTTGGTACCTAGAGAGAAAGTGAACTCGAACGTGAGAGTATGGAGGAATGTTTTTTTGGTCGTAACGCTGGTGACGATCTATATACTCGGGTCTTTCATCAAGTCAATAGCCCCAGGGTGATATCCTGGTCAATGGATTCGAGGGTAGGGACTTAGACCTTGGTGATTTCTAATTTCGCACACCTGAGGGAGTAGTCATTATATCGTAGATAAAAGAAACGAAATTGACAGGTATCATCGAGTAAGATCAAATAATAAATATTGTATCGAACTGTCATAGAAATTCGATTCTTCGTATAACTAGGAAGTATAATCAATCTCTTGAATATTGAGGCGAATAACGTAATTCCTATTTCGATTAATCGGCCCTCTCTAGCGTATGCTTTTACGGCGAATAAGAGTCTGTCCAGTAACAGTCATTGATTTATTACTAGATGTCTGGTTTCTATATGCACTGTACGTTGGTATTCCTGGCATTGGTAGGACTGTACGTCTGCGTCGAACTACCACCTACTGCTTCCTCGAAAGATAATCGCAAATCGCACCGTTTACAATTGAGTTAGCGACAGCGCAGACAAATCGTCAATTCGTACCTTTAGTCGGGATCCACATCGTACGACGTAAACACGATACACGTCAATGCTCAATTAATGGAGAACCGTAGCAAACCAAACTAATTACGTTTTAATTACTATCCGTCTACGTGCGTACCAGAGAAGTGCTCTCTGCCATAGCCTGGTAGAAAATCCACTGTCTCAAATATTCTATGTTAATTAATGGCAAGATAGACAATAATTACTAATTAATTGCAATTAATTGTATTCTTGGAACGTCTAAACCAGTATTGAGCGTCGAAAATTATATTGAGAATATCAAATCAAGATGGCATATCTGATGGTATGTATAGGTATATAGGAAATCCTTTTAGCAATGGTTAGTGTGTCTTGTCTTCCTAATGGAACTCTATTAGTTTCAATCTTGTAAATGAAGTTATAAAGCTTTGTGTATTGTCAACGTCGTTCTCGCGTTAGGTTAGGATAGGTCAAACGTCACTTTGGCGTATTTCTAAGATCCCAATAGTACTATTTTATCCCCTTATGGGTTTGAGAAATAGCATCAGATGGACCCTGACTATAATGGCGCACGAATTGCATGATTTATGGATGGCTCTAGGCAGTCCTAGGACTTTCCCATGTGGATGGGATATTCAGGGATTCTTGCAATCCTTATTGGACGGTGACAGGTATCTATGACTTTCTTGTTGATTGTCCTTCTTGAGTAGAACTACTTCTTGGTACTTTGCAAATTGGTTGAGCTTCTTCAGTCTTGTCGATTGCTTCCTAACTGCCAGTTTGATAGCATCAGGCACCTTAAAACTTTTCCTTACAGTCCTAGTGTTCTTTTGTGGATCATTGAGGATTCAGTTAATTCCCTTGGATTGTTCTTAACTTACTTGGTGAAAAAAATATTTGTTATACAAGTGCTCATCGTAGAAACTTTGAACAGTATTTAAGTTATCGATGAGTATATATGGTGATTGAGGACTATTGTACCACCTGAAGTTAAAACGTTCATTTAATTATTATTAATTTTTATAATGAAACTATCTTCATTTGATAGAACAGTTTTGAGTATCCCTCTATATATATTTTTTGTAATTCTAGTTGGATTTCATGGTTTGAAAAGAAATAAGGGGTTGTTTTTGGCGTTATTAAATATTAGGATAGGAACTTGTTTTTTTTTGCGAGGGTAGTTAGTACCTAACGAGGCCTGATTAAACAACAGACTCTTTTTCTAGGATTGAATGTGACGGTGGAGATTTTAGACTAAGGATGGAATAAGACTAACGATACTAGGATACAAGGAGAAAGTAGAGGAAGGGTGAAAGGAAAGAGAAAGAGAGAGAAGGAGAACAATGGCTACCAGATGAAAGAGTTTTCCGGGCCTCGGGCTACTCCCTGTGTCCCTCTGTGAGTTCGTCAGATATTCGCGTGGTCGCAATTAGCCCTGTGAATTGAAATGAAGCAAAACAATGACGGACATTTTTGCAAGCTCTCAAATTAGCGGCAAACGGATCACCAATTGTGAACTGAGCTTAAGTTTTATTTTTTTTTACTCATTCCTCACAGTAATAGTCCTCGTATTCCTATCTTCCTCTTGCACGTTATCAGAAATTCCTGTTAAAGGGTCATTCCTAAGAGTTTCTCTGAAAATGGATGCCACTGATATTGGCAAGGAACTTTGAACCTTAAAAACAGAAAATGGCGGATTCGAATTGGAAGGAATTTTCCACGACAAAATACAGACGGTGAAACTTTCATGAAAACCATCTCAATTCTCCCTCTCAACTCTATATTCGCATCTTGGCCAGACTGTATTTGCCTTTTCTCCTGTTTTGTCCTGAACCCGTCTGTGGGTTTTTCTATAGAAACTCTAGGTAAACCGGAAACCATCCATCCCAACGGTCGATGGGCTTTCAAATCGTAAAGCAGTGAACTTCCTTATCGACGTAGCATTATCGTCATTTTCATTTGGCCAAAGTATACGTGCATAAATCATAGACACAGACCTAGGAGAAGATTAATCATTTAGGAATAAAAAATAAAATAAAGAGGTTATAGTAAAGGGTCTTTTAAGAATAAGACATTGGAGAACTGTGAAAGTAGAAAATTATTTAACACTTGACGACTGTCTCCATTTCTCATTGAAGACTTTTGCAAACTGTTAATTAAGGCGACATTACTACTCTATTTGGTATACGTATATAGATATAGACAGGTAACTTACTTGATGAAAGGGTCACTCTAGTAAATCGTCTTTATCGGTTAATTAAAGAGTACGATCGACGCTGTCCTCTTTAGCCACTCCAGATCGTCTTTCAACCTGACTGGTTAATTTTCATTGAACACTCTCAAGCTTCTAATTATTCCATCGTATATCTCGTCATGGAAATGCGACGCTTTCCTGAATGTTGTTCCTGGATTTCGATGTTGGTTACGTGATGTCCAATAAATGCCTGAAGATCCTCTTGGTATTTCTGTCAATCATTTACAATATTACCAAGAGGTTATGCTGGTCGTTATTTTCTAAAAATTCCCATGTACACAGATATACATATAATGCGTATAATACTATGAGAGCACATATGCAATGCACGTATGCTGATACATAGAACTTTCTGAGATCTAGGAATGTAACAAAAATTTTTTCAAATTATAATGAAAAAATGGGAAATTGGTATAAAATTAACGTTCTACCACTATTATCCCTAGACTAGACTGGTTCGAGCTTCACTTTTCCTCTACCAGACAACCCAGCCACCCACCAACCCTTCTGGCATCCTCGTGGAAGTGGTGCCGCTGACCATCGCAAACTGAATTTCCGATAATTGCTTTCCGCGCGGCCTAAAATGATAATTAAATTCCTGGCGTTGCCCATGGCGAGCTATTATTATTGCCATAATGGCGAACGGCGTGACTTTAAAAACGTCAATTAGTTTACCCAAAGTAGACGAGGACAGTGTCGTAGGAATATATAAAAAAAGTGGGTTCATTATAGATAAGATAAAAAAATATTTTTCTCAAGCCAAAAAAAGCTACTCTAAACCAAGAGATGTATGGTTTCAATAATCCGATTATTAGGGAGTACTCATTGAATGCATGCGCTACACTTACTTACGGTTAACAAACACGTAAAGCAGGACCATTACCTTCCATTTACGTGAGGTATAAGGGGCTCCTTTAAATTTCCCGCTTCATTTTACTCCTGGTTAACCTCCAATATGGGGTGAAGATTGTCAGGGTGATTTGACTAGTTTTTTTTTCTTTTTCTCTACCTTTTCTTCCTGCTCAGTAGAACCGAGTTAGAAGTGTAACGGACCGATGTGAATTTCGTTCGTTCAAATCGTCGTTTCTAGAGCGGTAAGCTTCCGAGCTACTTCTATGTATAGGTTATGACCTATCGGTTTATCGATTCGTCAATAACCGTGTACAAACTTATGTTTTAGCATAGGTACTGGCATTACTGCAGCTACAGTTAGTGCTGCTACTGTCAGAACTATTTTCGATTACGTCACACGCACCACTTTGTCATTTTCATTTTTGATTTACTTCGCTATCTCCACTGAACGTTAACACGTAATTCCCTTGAGGATGCTCACGCAATTTCATTGTCTTGTACTGAAGCTTTGATGCCGTCTCTCTCACTCTCTCTTTGTCTGTCTGTTGTATCGCTTGACAGCCAAACTGTCGACGCTCGAGTAGCGAGTTAATTTCAATCTTATCCGCACGGTACGGCGCCACGGGTTTACCGAGCGCCCTCCTGTATACGATGTCGTTAAATTAATCCCGTCGCTACGAGAACGGTTTACCTTAGGCGTCAGTGCGAAATAGTAAACGTGTCCGGAATCTTTGATCGTGTACCGATGAGATTTCGTTAGAGTTTCAGGACTTTCCGGCTCGACCGACAATGAAATTCTATTGGATATCCAGAATGTGGATTTAATCGCTCGAGCAACTGTTGACAATGACTAAGGAATTCACACGAGAAATTCAAATGAATTCAAAGAGTAAATCGGAATTAACACCGGCTTTCAGTATGTATGAGTCCGTTTTTGGTCTTTTCTTAACGTTCTGAAAATGAGAGTGTGACAAGTACTGACAAATCGTCTATATAGGTTTCTAAGACTCTTAAGATTTTTTTTCCGTTGCGGTGTAACTGTAGATTTCTTTTGCTTGTAGAATATCTCAGGACAATTTTTCTTTATATTCTTTCTTTTTCTTTTTAACCTGTTTAGAGACGCTTGACGTCGTGCTTTCGCTACTTCGTCAGCTCGTAAACGATAATTTTTATTGTTTTCTCATATACGTACTAGATTAGTTATGTTTTTTTTTACGTGCGTATTTATACGTACGTATGTATGTACATGATCTCGTTTATCTGCGGTCCTGTACCTCCTTCCAATAGGATGCTAATGATTTCGTCTCGCTCGCCTGCTCGTTATACCCATTTATCCTTCAAATCCCCCTCAAAGCGGTTCCGCTAATTAATCGACGGTCCACTTTGGGAAAAATGAACGTCCCAGTCCACGGTCTACTCTCGGGTACCGTTTGCTGTTACTGTAAGCGTATATCGCAGATGTATCGTATTTGTCATTAATCAAGTCTCGATTTTCCACAGAATATTCTCGAAAGGGCTAACATTTTTTGAAATAGGAATTTATAAATATTAGTTTTTGATTGATATTAGGATTTTATTGGATATCTAGATAAAATCTAATATAGTAACACAGACTAGCTAGAGAGAAGGTATTGTCGCATGGATATGAACAATTTCACCGAAACATTAAAACGTATACTTATATATATCTTTTCACATTAGCAGTACATATCCACTTGTTGACCTATTTCATTATCGTCCTTGAAACCGCAGGAAAAGTTTCAACGCCCAGAAGCGAACGGGTTCGGAAATTCTTAGCTCGTGGGAGTTTCTCACAAGTAACGAGCTAACACGTTATTATGCAATAAGTAAATATCTAACACGAGAATAGAATTTCACGTGTTTGCTTTATTAAAAAATGAAGGCACTGTATACACGACTTTGGCTCCGTAGGCACAGTGCAGAATAGAATAGAAGAGGAAAAATACGTTCAACGTACACACAATATTGAACGTGCCAAACTGTCATGTAATTTGTATCATTCTTTACATTCAACAGAACCAGGAAGATATTCATTCCGAGTATCATTATTGGAACGATTTGTCATAACGCTTAATTTTGTCATCCACATATTAATTGTATAGCGTTTTAAGTGGATACATAAATAATTTTATTTATCTCTTAAATTGTCACTCTTTTAATATAAGTTAATGTATAGTATTAACACAGTTGATTTGGTGGTAGTCTCATTTGAATACTCCCGGGTTTCTTTTGACTAGCGTAGTAACGGAACCGTCAACAGTGCAACAATGGCGTCGCCGCACATCGGTGCTTTTCCACTGGAGGGAAGCCATTTTAGGTGGCGCCACCAGTCGGCAGCGTACACGCAACAACGCCGCATGTAGCGCCGCTCATCGACGAGACAGAACTGTTCGCGTTCCGCCGAGGTGGTGCTGTTTTCTCGTGTCGCGTAGTGTAGTGCTTTTTTCCTGTTCGTACACGGAGTGCTGTGCCGATGAGGCGGTCCGGAATTTGTCCCGATGACTGAGGAGTGCCTTTAGGTAAAAAAAATCATTAAAAACGACACGTAAAACCTACGTTATACAGAGAAAAATTACGTTCTACCAGAATGAATACGCGTACGAGAGCGAGCACTGGTGTTCTGTGGTTAAAATCGAAGCACGCCGCCGGCATCGAAAAACTTTGCGATTTTATTATGAGACTACGTAGCACCCTGTACTGTTTCCACACTTAAAATAATTACGTGGTATCGTTACGCCTGTCGTTATTGGCAAATATAATTGGCGAGGCGTCGCATTCGATTCTGAGAATATATATATTCTATCGTCTAGTGGAGATGCCCTCGCAAGTGGAAGTGAACGGTTACTAATCCTCGTGTAAATTTGTGGAACTCCCGTAATTTCTCCTTGCCATGCTAAAAGAAAATCATCCTCGCGTCTCTCATGGAAAAATTACTGCTTCCGCATGGCGTCCTCCTACGGGTCTCGTGCACTCTCGTAAAGAGAGTGAGTGAGAGAAACAGAGAGAGAGAGAGGGAGAGAGAGAGAGAGAGAGAGAGAGAGAGAGAGAGAGAGCAAGAGTAGTTATCGCGAACCAGTGGAAAATGGTCGACGTTTCTCCGTGACCGAAGCACGCCTTCGATCGACACGTTCAGGCCTTGGATTATATCATTTTTTATGTAATTTCTGCTCATAGACTATAATGTTTTGAAAAGAATAATCCAAGTGCACGAAATGAGAACAAAAAATAATATTTAATAAATTTTGAGCATTTAGCATATATCCGTTTCCGTCTAGTAGAGTTTACCATGGTGTTTAGCATATACGATAATACGAGTCGAAAATCTAGTTTTCGCCTTTCTTTCGGTTCAATGTACGCATATTTTTTTCTTTTCTTCTTTTTTTTTTACCCCGTTACAGACACCATTTGTTCATATCGGAGTACGGTAAAGCCGGAACGCACACGCCATTTCTGTTTGCCTCTTGCGATAAATAACCGTCCACTCTGTAACCTACTACGGCTATGATACCTCACCGACATTTTCTCGTTGAGTTCTCAAGCTGAATTCACATCGTATCGTGTCAGCGCGACATTATCAGAATGGTTATCGCTCTAGGCTTCGAACAAACAACGTTTCAAAGTTTGCCCACGCCAGACGTCTACACCTCTCTCTCTCTCTCTCTCTCTCTCTCTCTCTCTCTCTCTCTCTCTCTCTCTCTCTCTTTCTCTTTCTCTCTCTTTCTATCCTCTCTCGTTCCCTATGTGCTTTCCTTATCCTGCACAATATACCGGGACATTGTCGTAGGCGCGAAAATTCTTTGTCATTCTCATATCTGAACATTATATCCTCGTAACACACACGGCGTACTTCAGGTTTCTCTTGCATACGAAGTAAGAATAATATGCCGCGCGTAGAAAAGCTCGTACGTCGCGACTACGAATAAATTCTATTTTCAACAGCAACGTGCTCCTGTACCCGAGGCCGGTTCATGCGCCATTTATTTCTCATTCTTTCCAACCCGCATCAGCCATATTCTCTTTCTCTCTCTCTCTCTCTCTCTTTCTTTCTCTTAGACACCCGTGCGCCTTTATTCGACAACCGGCGGGACGCAAAAATCCAGTTTTCGTATCGTCGAACTTTAAGGCTCACGAGCCGTTTCCATCAGAAATTCCACCGTACAACGCGACAGTACGCACTCTGCATTAACACGCTCTAAAAACACGTTTCTACGTCACGTCTGAGATACGCGTATAACATTCCTCTGTCTCTATGAGTCTTTTTAATGTGTGTGAGTGCTTCTGTAATAACGGACCAGAGTCAGAAACCCGTCCATGCACGTCTGTCCCTTTGTACTTTTGCATCGTTCGCAGGCAGATGCAAGGGGCACAGGGAAGACGAGATATGGATTCGAGCGGAAGTGAGGTTATGTACTGCGATGCACATAGGAGCTTATAAAACTGCCGGCAATATTCAATTGGCCCTGGCTTGTGGTACGCGAGGGTAATTAGCATTATCGGAATGAAAAACGACAACGCCGAATGTTCCGTTCGTAGATTGCTATGGTGGGAACGGTAAACCGTTCCTTTTCTCTCTCTCTCTTCCTCTCGGGGCCGCGCAAAATATTTTTCTTTGGCTCACGTAGTACATGCGCGGTTGGCGTCACTGCGTGTGCATGCATGCAACGCAGAATACGCCTTGCCCATGTATACCTATATGTCTTACAGTTTTCCAGGCGACTTTAACGTTAGAAAATTCACGACGTCACGCGTTCTCCGTGGTTACAATCGATCCGTGCCTCGCTCTGCGACCCGCTTTTTTCCCTCTTTCTCTCTCTAACGCTCTCACCTACCCTTATGGCTCTCTTTCTCTCATGACTCTCTTTCCCTTTCCCTCGCTCCGCGCTCTCTACCTCCTCGTGTCTCCTCGTCCCCTCTGTGTATCTTTACGTCAGAGCATCTTTTGCACGCCGTCTATTTTTCTGTTTGCTTTCTTTTTTTACTTTTTTTTTTCAAAGCCTTTGTTTCCTCATTCGTCATTGTTTCTTAATCGGTTCTCAATCGCCGGTAAAATCAACGAGTAACGACGTTCTCTCGGTCCTTGATAACGAGCTTCGTATAAACTAATAAACAAAAGTCGTGCGACTTACTACGTCGTACCGTACGGGAAAATTGTCTATTGAATCATCAGCTGCACTATATCTCGCCATGGTCGAGGCACTGACAATGCACTTAAAATGTGCACAGAGAAATCGGTTGGGATTACAGTTACTATTGTCGGTTTGTCATTTTCACCCGATTCACGAATAATTCTTGTTTCATGGGTACAGTAAACCTTTTTTTTTTTGGTAGGGAGCACCTGGTGATCGTAGATTACCTGGTAGGTACTGAAATAATCCCAACCAGAGTCTTCAGGTAGAGCTACTATACAGTTCTATTGGGTACCGTAGCACGGCATAGTATTGTCTAGACTATAGGTGGGAATAGATTAGAGCCTCTTACTATAACTGACAATTTCATTGCCTTCTACCGACGATACTGGCTCTCCTACCTGGTGCGCCATATTTATTATTGTACACAGCTCTGGGATACAAGAGCTCGTGTTAACTATCATGTTTTCAATGGGAGTGGAGAATATTAATATTGTTTTTCTCTCATGTTTACAGTGTAAAGTCTGAGCCTACCTGGGAGCATTTAAGAAGCACGTCCCCCGAGTGTCCCCCAGCCAAAATCACTCGCCTAACCTCTCCCTTATCCTCCTTGTCCTCGTCCGCTCCCCTGGTTCCAGTCAATTCTGCGAAAGCCAGCCGCAACAATCAGATCCGTGAACTCGTGATAGACGCAGCCATGGACGGTATGGACAGCAAGCCAATGCTGAACGACGATCCGTCGGTCACATTGACAATTCGCCTCATCATGCAAGGCAAGGTATGGATCACCGGTTCCTAAGGGACCGCTCAACATATCCTTATAAGTAAACGTCATCCGGACCCATTAAAATTAGATTTAAGCTTTTAGTTTGAGTTTAGTGGCGATGTCGATGGGTTCGAGAAGCAAAATATAAACCTGTGATTCAGAGTTTCTACTCTCTTGGCACGGATTACGTCTGACCGATTTATATTATTGACTCGGGTCATGGACACTCTGGATACCTGGTGAGTACGATTTGTCGAGGCAGGTATCGGACAGGATTCCTTCAGGACGAGGATGGATAATCAAAACTCTTATCTGCGGCCGTAAGGAACGATGATGTTACTTGGTATGACGGTGGCCAATACCGTGACCATTGCCAAGAATTTAGATTCCACGTTGAATAATGTTTCTCTCTTTGTCTAGGTTCTTGATCTTCCTACTCTTCCATTCCCTGACCTACGAGGTATCATTGGGCATCTTGAGATTGGCCTCAACGCAGACGTAAACCAAGCTTCCTACGTACGCGCCGTGGCCTCCTCGCGGATCGTGCTGAAGTGCGCCACGGAAATTATTGCACGTTTCTGCATATCTGAACGATACTCCTCGTCTCAAAATTCACCTCGTTCGCCGGCCCCCCTTACTCGCCATCCTCTATTCTTCTTCCCTTACTGCACACCCTTGAAGGGCTTCGCATATACGCCCCTGGCAAGACCCTCGGTCGCCCCCGACTTGTCTGAAGTGCTTCCATGTCAAATCTCATTACGTCACATGTTTTTACCTCTCGATGGCGCGGGGCTTCCTGACATTTTAGAACCCTTTGCGCTTCACGTTTTACGTATCAGACATCCACGACACGGAGATTTTAAATTCTCTATTCCCTATTCTTTGCCTGGCTCGGCCGACCTGCCAAGGAATTTTGTCATTGGTACTGTACAAATATGCGAGGAGTCTGCGGATCGTTCGAATCTTTTCATTCCTGGTTGCAATACGTTTCCACGGGTGAAGTGAATACGTCTGGCTGCATTTTTGGCTACGAGTATTATGTCTGACAAAGTAGCCACCAAGTGACGCGGACTGGACTTCGGCCAGCGCCGACGGCCAATCGTTCGGCCCGATGCTGATCGCGATTCCATTATCGTTTCAATTACGTACGTAGCTTTAGGAAGAGCCTCGCGGGAAGTCGACGCGACGACAGTCCCCAAACGAGACCTCGTACCATTTTCTTTGGTTTGTTTTTCGCCGTCTCTTCTGCATTTTTTTTCCCCCGAGCTCCTTGCACAGATAACCCTGCCTCTGTAGAATCTGCCAATTGGCAAGGAATTCCTGGCGCATGCTCGCGTCTTGCTACGCGGATAGCTCCTGGAGACTGTACAAATCAAAAGACAAGCCAGGGCACTTCAAAGTCTCTTAACCACCATTTTTCTTCCTCAGTACGGCTGATGCCAATGTATCTCCTACGTGTCTTATCTTCTTCGTTCTTCCTTTTGATCCACGAAAAGTTCCTATTTATCTTCAACGTGGGTCTACCTACATGTATCTTGGGAACTTCATGGGTTCCAGCAGGCTGGATCAGAGCCAGGGCCGTCGGCCAACCGATTCTCCAATACCGAATTGCGTTCGCTCTCTTCCTGCCATCCCCATTATACCAGTCAAATTTTTACTACGCTCCTGCGCCTTTCGATTCTCGCCATTTTCATCCATTTTTTTTTCGACCAATCAGCGCGCGGCCATTCCCCTCGAGCCGCGTGTGCCGGGTCGATTCTTGAGCCGTGACCTCGATCTCGTAAGTTTCGCGAGACTCCTGGGTACCTCAATAATTGGCTGACTTCCAGTCACTTCCTCCACTTCTTCTTCTTTTTTCCTTTTTTCTTTCTTTCTTCTGTCTCTTCATCTCTTAAGCCTCTTCGGCTTCTTCTTGTTCTGCCGACGATGCTTTTCGCTACTGTGACATCCGGCTCCGTTTCTCTCTTTAGTAATGATCCAAGGAATGTGGTAAAGTGGCAGGTTTCTCAAGCGGTAGCATTCTCGTGATATTCCCTAATAACGATAAAGCCCATGGAAAATTCAGCTAATCCTATAACGAGTGAGAGAACACGCAGACCTGCAGACTATACAGATTTTCTCAAACAGTCAAAAAAAAAAAAGATCAAACAATTCCCAGCTTACACAGGACTGTATGTATTTATGTTAGAGTCCCATATCAAAGGATAATTAATTGTTTTTCAATATTCCCTTTTTTGTCTCAATATTGCAACTGTTGTATATAAACATATTTAGGTATGTAATATGTTTTCTATACATAAAACTGAATACGACGTGTATACACAAACTGGCAGTCTAACGATAAAGACAATACTGTTCGTTTCAACGTTTCGAGTAAACGCACCCGCTATGTACTGAGATCAATATTGTTCTCTCGTCGAAAGGCACTACCTTGGTCGGTACTGACTGTGAGAGATCACGAGGAAGAAGCAAGGAAATGGATGGAAGCGAAAGGATAACAAAAGAAAGGAAAACAAAATGCAAGGAAGGGATCGAGGAACTAACACAAGAGAAAGAAGATCCGGTGTATTGTTGCAGTAAGAAAAATGGACTGTAAGCGTCCATTGTAACGTTAGTCGACTTAATTAGGACCGAAAGTTGAACGTAGAAGCGAATACGAGTTTACGTATAGTACGTAAAACGTAGAAAAAGAGAGCAAGAAAAAAAAATATTAAAGGGTACCCAGAAAGTTTATGGATGTCAGTGGCTGGGACGGCGCAAGCCATAGAAAAGTCTTCCCAAGTAACAGTTGTAGCGAGAAGCGACAGCATGTGGAGTAAGAGTACAGCAGAATTCTGACGAGAGTACATAGTTGTTTAAAAACCTGAGTGTGTTCATATTGAAACAACCCTGATATTGTTTTGCGCGTTGCTGATTCAGCAAAGATAAGTCCTCCTTCGTAGGAAATTCCTCTCTTCGTTGTGTTGTTTGTTCTTGTCGTCTTCGATCCGTCTGTCTCTTTCTTGCGCGCGTTATGGCAAATCGCTTCGTCTCTCTCGCACTCACGTGCGACATAAAAATTTCATAGAATCGAAGAAGACGATAAGTCGAGTTTGCTCCTGTATCATTTATACAGGTGGCATCGATTGTTTTTTCTCTCTTGCTCGAATGGATTATAAATACTTTCGTCAAATGAAGTTTACCTAGGTCACTTACGGATGAATGTACATAAAACTTGATTTTCCTTGGCTACCATGATACTTCGGTGTAAGATCCACCAGGACATTTGCTGGCATTTGATCGACCTCAACTTGGCTCCATCTAACAATAAGTTTAGAGGAAGCACATACCTGGTGGTCTAGGCATAGCTGACATTATCGGGGGTCAGATGCGTTCGAGAGACAGTTGGATGAGAGCGCAAACCTGTACAGTTTTAATATATTTCTTAGTGGTCGAACTATTCATAGCTGTAGGCGTCTCAAGCTACGTCGACAATCGCCTTTTTTTTTGTTCTTTAACGACCCTGAAAAGCTCGAAAAAAAATTGTCATGAGTATAAAATATTATTTTTTGATTTCAGGAGGTCGGCAGCATTATCGGAAAGAAGGGAGAGATCGTGAAGAGGTTCCGCGAGGAAGTAAGTTCACTCAATGCGCAGAATACGCAGCATAATAGATATAACGTTGAGATTCCTTCCATCCAGCGAGTAATACGAGTAACTAATGTATCGTGTCTTCTGTGAAAAACAGTCCGGCGCCAAGATCAACATCTCCGATGGCTCCTGCCCAGAACGTATAGTTACCGTCACGGGCCCGACGAACTCCATCTTCAAGGCGTTTACGCTGATATGCAAGAAATTCGAGGAATGGTGCTCGCAGTTCCATGACATTCAGGGAAGCGGCGCCGGAGGCGGCGGCGGCGTTCCAAGACCGCCGATCACCCTGAGACTCATCGTCCCGGCATCCCAGTGCGGTTCCCTTATCGGCAAGGGAGGCTCGAAGATAAAGGAAATTCGAGAGGTGACCGGTGCGTCGATTCAGGTCGCCTCGGAGATGCTTCCCAACTCGACGGAACGAGCCGTCACCATATCGGGAACGAGCGAGGCCATTACGCAATGCATCTATCACATTTGCTGCGTCATGCTAGAGGTACGCACCTTGTGTCAGGTACTCGGGTCCGATCACGAGGTCCATTACCTGGCTCACTGTTCACGTGCTCTTATACTACTAGTAGCGATACCTTTGTTAGAAGGTGGACAGATAGTTAAACAAAATTATACATTAGATATTGTACTAACCGAAGACTCATATTTATTTTATTTATTCTGTTTTCAGTCCCCTCCCAAAGGCGCCACGATCCCTTATCGCCCCAAACCCCAAGTTGGTGGGCCAGTGATCCTGGCTGGTGGGCAAGCCTACACCATCCAGGGTAATTACGCGGTGCCCGCCCACTCGGACGTAAGTACAGTATTGCCATTGCCCGCCCCCCCTGCCGGGCCTGCGCCCCCCTCGCTCAACACCCAAACTTTGACTACTTCGCCCTTCGCGGCCCACCCCTCCTCCCCCTTTGCCGCTTCTCACGGACATCCCATGCTCCCTGCCCATCTTACCTCGGCCCATCATCCCCTACACCCGAGCCCCTTACACGCCAGCGTGGCAGGCCTCGCCGACCCCCTGCTGAAGAGTGGACACTTGCAGGCAGCCCTCCCGCCCGCACACCTCGTGGCAGACGCCGTAAGTCTTTTGTTTTTCGTGACCCACCGTTCCCCGAGACCACCATCACCACCTACCATTATCACTGTTCACTATCACCACCACCACCACCACCATCACCGTCAGACCCTCACTTGAGACCCCGTAATTCCGTCAACTATTATTACACACGTCTTTTTCAGAGACACACGACACACAGCTGACATAGGAGATACTTCTCAAAGTCAATCCGCTATTAAACTTTTCCTTGTGCCACGGCGGATAGCCTAACTTAAATTGACCTCTTTTAACCTTAGTCTCCTAACCTTAGAGGAAAGTATAGTACATTCGAGTTTATATGCACGGACAAGCTTTCCATACAATCATTCGCGTATCAGTTGATGCAAATTTTTCTTAAATGAGACGATTCAGTGTAATATTTTTTAAACTTTTTGATAGATGCTATCTCTATGTAATCGCTGGAATAACATCCACTACCGGTGGTTACATGCTAATCATTCGGAAATCCGATCGAATTCAGCTCTGAATGCAATTTCGAGTAATTTAATGTAATATTTTTTTTTTGGATACCGAATATTATATGTATTTTGAAGAAACGTTTAAATGGCTATACCCCGTGGTCAGGACGTAGTAACGTTTTCCTCACGTGTATCGGAATGCCCCCCCCCCCCATACGGATTCTATAGGCCGCCTGCTCCTATCCCAACTTCCGGTTTACCTATCACTCCATATAACCTCTTACCTCGCTCATAGCTTTTTGCTCGATAGTCCAACTTCCGGCACCACGCTGCGCGGATCTACTTTTAAGAACAAGACTTTCTTTTTATTCTTGGGAAAAGTTTGCTTTCATTGAAAAATAATAACAAGGGAAATTATGCTATGCGTCTTGTTCCTTTTTCTTTTTCTTTTTTTTTTTTTTTTTTTTTTTTTTTTTTTTTTTTTTTTTTTTTTTTTTTTTTTTTTTTTGTTTTGGGGAGAAAAACGCAGCTGGCCATGTCTCCGTCGTAACTTTTCACGCACACGTTATATCAGTATAACGGGAGTGTCAATTATTTTTTTTTTTCACAATGATAAATATTTGTTAACTCGACACTCTCTTTACTTGATATCACGTCCACGTGAGCTTTGCTTCTCTTCATCCGCACGTTGTACGTCTGTCTTTGCTTGTACTTTCATTTGTATGTCTTTTTTCTATGTCTTCCAATGCTGTCCTATTGTTCTTGTACTTGTTTGATTCTGTATACTCGCATAGCTCGATAATTTTCTAGCACCATCTCTACGCAGAGCATCCGAGAAGTGATAGTGAAAAAAAAAATATATATTTCCTACCTTTTCGTCTCGAGAAGATAGATGAAAGTTCATCAATGGAATTCAGAAGATTTCGTATCTCGCGTCAGAGCTGGTGCATATGTTCAAGCACGGGGGATGACGGTATTCGAGATTGAGTTTTTCCACGTGTCCGGACGGCTGATGAAAAGAAAAAAAAAAATGGATCTAACGAGCATCCGGAAGCGAAGACCACGTAATGGAGATGCCGTCCTTCCCTGTACTCTACCAAATTTGCATATGAAATTTTGAACAGTCCTTCAGGCATGAAAATCGATAAATAATTTGCCAAGGGTACAGAAATCCGAATTTCATATGCGAATAACGAGCCTGCTTAGCATGAGTGCTTGTACGCTTTTTCGAATTGCGGATTTCTATGGTTTCGCCTTTGAGATACGTAATCGCGTTAAGTATTTTTCACAGTGTGATTTATGTTTGTTACAAAAAAAAAGACATCCGAAGGTTCGGCTGCCGTAAGACTGATAGGATGAACGAATCCACGTGGCTGCATGAAAATCCGCAAATCGACTCGTCGAATGAACCCAGGAGATGCGCGCGCGCTCTGTCGGCGAAACGGATAAACGAATATTGTTAAGGATGCCTCGACGATTCTCTCTCTTGTTGGTTGTTGGGTTGCTCGATAAAAGAAAATAGAAAAACGGAAGGAAAAGAAGGAAGGGCGCCAACTATAGGAAAATCGTTTTACCTGCCTTCTGGTCCGTCGCTCCTTCTAGGTCGGAATTTACGGATTCGCGTTACTAATTATTGTCATTAAAAATCATCGCCGATATCTCGTCCAGACGCGACCGCTCGCGAACCGCGACAAATCGCAAACATAATTAACCGGTTCTCGTCGCGCAAAGCCGACTGTTTGCTAATTAGCGACGCTTTTTGTGCGTCGAGCGACCGAGCGAAAAGCAAACGTCGCGGTCGCTCGTCGCGGTTGACATTTTGAATTATTAAATCTACTCGATCCATCCTGACTCTATTCATCTGTCTCTGTTCACTCTCTCTCTCTCTCTCTCTCTCTCTCTCTCTCTCTCTCTCTCTCTCTCTCTCTCTC